TAAGCATTGGTACGGAACCCATAGGAATGTTAACAAAATGTATACTTATTGTTAAAATCTCTATAAAATATCTGATAATTTGATGTGCATATGTCTAATGATAATTTTTGACCGCCAAATGGCTATTTTTTTTACTTTTTCCTCCATATCTCCGAAACCGCTAGACCTACCTTTATGAAAATTTTATCGATTCTTCATCTTATCAATACAAGTGAAATGTTTTTTGAATTATTTAAATCGGACGCTCCGTTCTCTTAAAAACTGAGTTACCGTTTTCGGCACTTTTTGCCCCGTATCTTCGGAACGGCTAGACCTGCCTTCGCCAAAAACTAATCAGCACGTCTCCTTATCAATACGAATCGAATGTTTTTTGAATTATTCAAATCGGTTGATCCGTGTTCCCGAAATCGTCGACGAAAATTTGTATCCGCACATACATACACACACGTACATACATACACACACATACACACACACACACACACACACACACACACACATACATCCATTTTTTCTAAGGTATGCCAAAATGTTTAGAAACCTTTGAAACGTAAAGATATATAAAAATTTTCATTTTCGATTTTTTTGCGATTACTATAACTTGCCCTACGGGAAGTTAAAAAGTCCAACAAGCCAAGGAAAACAACCAGATAGCAGTCAATCAAGATAGCAGAGTGTCATTCTTGTGGGAACTTAGTTGCAATAATTGAATTCAAAGTATCATTACAAGAGCTCATAGAGCTCTTAATACCGATTGGTTTTCCAATATAAAATACCTAGTTGAAAGTGGAATTAGAGTTGTATGGATATGGTTAAATAAACGACTTGGTCAATAAGAATTACTATAATTCTTAAATTATAGATAAATCTTAAATTATAGATAAATAAATTGTTAACTGTTATTTTAAATCTTAGTGAATTTTCATATTAACCACTTTTTGCAGGCCTATAATATTTTAGAGAGTAACCTTGCACTTGCCTGAAAATTAAAGAAACGCCTCGGCGATGGCCGCGCAACATAAATTATTGCACCGCCTTATGGAGTTTCATGGAATGGCTTTTAAAGTTTGGAAATCTGCAGTCGTTTGTGAGAATACGTGAAAAGGTCAAAGTTTGGCTTAGTACACAAATACGTAAAAACAAACATGCATTTTCCAATTTTGGTGTTGAAGGATTCGAAACGGATGACTTGAAATGCCGAAAATTAGCGAATCTGACGAAAACAAACTTATTCGGGAAGTAAATAATTTTTTATTTTTATGTAGATATGATATAAAAAAATAACAATCAATATGATAAATCGGTATTTGATTTTTTATTGAAATAAAAACGTCAAACAAATATTTGGTACAATATATTAATACTTATAAATATTGTGGTATATATTGTTTCAACTTCATTCCCTTTTTCATACAATTTTCTCTATATATTATTTTAGATGCATGTATATATATATATATATATATATATATACATACATATATATATATACATATATATATATATATATATATATATATATATGCTCTGGGTATTTTTTGTAATGTTTTGATAAAATGTTTATTTTTTAGGATTGCCTATATTTTATACACGATTTGAGCATGTTATTAATTTCAAAAATGTTTCAAAATTTGCGGAAATATAAAAATCGAATGAAAATAGCACCAATGTTTGTGCAACATTTCTAACTTCGTCATTCGAAGTAATATTTCATATAATATATCTGAGTTTATTTTAACGCTTGCTTAGTACCTTAAAACTAAATTCATTCGTTTTTCGTCAAAATGAAAATTTTTTTAATTGACAAAGTTATCCATTGTATCAAAGACATTTACATAAATATTATATAATTTGAATCCTTATGTTACGGGCATTTGGAGTTAACATTTAATACATATTATATGCATTATTTTTACTGTTGAGTCTATTATAATTTGCATATAGCGAACATTACTGAGTATAATATTTTACATTATTGCTGTTAGGGCCAAGATTTTTTCAACCATCGACATCTACGAACAAATAAGTTCAGCAGTCTTGATAGCAATTATAATAGTTGGTAAACTTTCAGTGAGCTACTGTTTCGATATATCAGAAAGTGCAATAATTAGTATGTATTCATTACAACGATTTCTTTATATTGTTGTTATTTCTTAAGTTGTTGGTTTGAAATTATTTCTCATATGAATTTAAAATAGAAAAAATATATGTAAAATTGTTCATGATTTTCATTTTATACAATAGACGCTTTAATTTTTTGATTTTGTTATATTGATGAAACATTAAACGATTTGATATTTTCAAGCGTCGCTTTGCCGATGGTTTTAATCTAATTGAATTAGAAAATGAATACAAAAATATAGACAAATAGTTTTGAGGAAATGCTAATTATTAACAAATAAATAATGTTATTTATTCTTAAAATATTTAAACATAACATTATTAACCATATCATTACGATAAAAATAGAATGCAAAAATAAGTTGTTTAACAATATTCTATTTGTCTATACCATAAATGTTTTTAAGACAATGAATTAATCGTCTGCTTGAATAAAATTTAACAAATAATTTTAATTGTTGTTTTATATATTACGGGGTATCAAATAAACATTTTAAATATAACGTACCTAATATATTATTTTAATATTTTAATATATATATAACAATAAGTCTATATGTTTATATATCATCAATAATCGTTAAACGATTTCACTATCATTTTCTCATTTTATGTTAATTCATTGTTCTGTACATGTAATATATATTATATATGTTTTCTTTCTGATTAAATACATTTTTTTCATAATAGTTATATAAACATAAAATTTTATTGGTTAGTATCTAATTTAAGTTATGATATAGCATATTTACTAATAAATAATTTTTTTTTTAAAGTTTTTACATATGTAAATAAAATTTCAACTAAAAGCAATTTTGAGTAAATGCACTCTATCAATATTCTGTTATCTATCAAAACTAAATATATAATATGAAATAATAAAATTGCCAATGCGATTTTTACAATAATACTTATTTTAAAAGTAACATAAATATGTTTTATAATGACCAAAATTAGATACCTTCCAAGGCTACGGTGTCATAATTGTATAACACAAGTTTTTTTGCAATTTGCATATATGCTTTTATATATTTATATATATTTACTACGAATGTTCGTAACGTACGTTATGTTTCCTATTACTTTGTTAACATATGCTTGTATATATATGTACTTAAATATCTTTAACCTATCTTTATAATTAATATCAGTTTAGAATTTCTTGTTCGCCTCATCCGAACCGGCATACTGGGCGTATTCCGAATCCGTCGCAATGCCGCCTAGTACGCCCGCCCTTGCGAGACTCTAAATTATATCATAGTTTTCTTAGCTACGAGTCGCATCATCGGATATAAATATATAGTAAACTCTTTATTTGAAGACAAATGGAAGAAGAGATATCCATTGTATTAGTATATTTATCAAACAATGATTTGAATTCTTTGATCACAATGCTTTGTATCCTATATACACGAAACCATCACTACCGTTTCTAAAGATAGTATAGAACACTAAATTTCTTAAACAAGACAGTAATAAAACGATAACATTTTTTGTGGACCATAGAACTATTTTATGTGGAACCACTTAGCATGTCGTCGTTGTCGAAGCCTTAATTTTTGGTTTAAAATATGTTCGCATTAGTGCTAATGGAAATTCATCCAATTGAATACTTTGAATACTGGGTGTTGAATATTATTACTCTTGTGGCTAGATTGAAAAATTGGAAGTATAAAAACAGCATTCTGTCTACTATATTACGTTACATGAATGTGCAATTTTATTTATTGTTGTGTAAACTAAAATTCATTCAAATGTAAAGTTTACTCTATTTCTGAGATGCGACTTGACGCGATTCATTAGTCTAAGTCAACACTGTCGTTGGCGGCTTACGGTATCTCTATACATACGAAGTGCGATACAGGTGACAACTTATCCTAATATACGTGTGAGTATGTGTGAGTGAGCGAATTAATGGTACAAATATAAACCCTACGTGATGCGAGATGGAATGATTTCTAGCCCGATCGGCCGACAATTTGCTTACACACGTAACGAACTCATGTGCTTATATTTCTTGTTTGGTATCTGTGATCTCTTTAGTATCATAGTTATTTATGCTATATTATATATTCATACAATTAATAATTGGAACGGGTTCATACATATATAATAAGGAATGCTACATACGGGCACGATACACCCTTTTCATTTATCATTTATGCATTTGTGTATATATATATAGTTTATATAGTTATATGTCAGGAATAATAAAACCGTTCAGAATATATCACCGATGCCTTTGTTGCTCCTTTCTTCTGTGTCTTGAATTATCCGTCGCGCAAAGTGGAGAATGTCCGCATCGAGTACTCCCGTACGGGCCCAAGAACAAACAAGTGGCGATCCCGTCACGACAAGATGACGCGAAAACAAGGGGGAAACCTCGCGTCACACGCTCTATGCACCACCCGCCTCGGTCCGGGACAACACACGTGTTTAGTGCAGCTGCTCGCTACATCGGCAACGTCGCGCGATCGAATATTTTGCGTTTTATGTGCCCGACATTGTTTTGTCTGTCGTCTGCCTGATCTCGTTCTGGCAATTGGATCATGTCCTGCCGATGCAGGGGCGCGGAGACCCAGCGTCCCGTCAGCCCGTACCCGAGAGTCTTAACCGGGTGCCCTCAGTGGTTCCCGCGTAACATTCGACCCGTACGTGGCAAGAGCCGACGCTCGGGCGGTTGCGAGAACCGCGCTTCTCCCATGCCCAAATGTTGCAGAAGGGATATAGGTGTATAATTCTACAATTGGATCGAACATAACAGGTGAAGGTTTCTGATAGATTAAGAATAAGTAAAAAAATGATATGGGATTTTTTAAGAAACCATAGTGATCAATTACAATAGGCAACGGATTGAGTATGGGAGTGCATACTGGGGGCGCCCTCTATTTGTCTTCTCCCAGGAGCACCAGGTCGTCGGCCACCACGTCGCTCACGTGCAGATATATGATCCAGTACATCAAGTTGAAGCAAACGAAGCAGACCGGGAACACGATGCGCGAGTACTTGTCGATGTCCGACGGAGTGATACCGAGCAGCTTGTTGATGTCCTACAGAATAAATTTAGTTAGATCTGCCATTGCTAGGATGTTATGCATATCTATTTAGGCATGCAATATTAATGATTTGTCTATTTTGCTGCACTCTTAAAATGCATGTCTGCCTTTCTATTTGTGATTTAGTACAAATACAAATAATGTGATATGTTTGTATGTAATAAAAAAATAATAACATTTAAAATGTTTTTTACACAAATTAAATGAAAATACTGTCACTAATTAAACAAACTTTGATTTGATGTAAGAACCAGCTATCAGATTTCCGTAGCGAATGTTTAAGATTATTATCTCAGAAAGAAGATATAGCCGAAATGCGTGTGTTCGAAAATGTTGTTAAAAAGTGCACAAGCTGTGTGATCTACAAGTGTACTAGACCGTTAAATCGTTTTTATTATATTTTTTTTAACTATTTTATTACAGATTTTTTGTAAATTTAATCTGGAATACATAAATATCTACAAATTTATGCTAATAATCACTTATCCGTCAAAAAGTTGTTTCAGTGATTATATCTTGTACAGTGGGATAATTTGTTGCAGTGGCATAAAGTTTTCTCCAAATAATGTTAAAATTACAATAGCAAGCTCAATACTGTGATAGTGTACATAATTATTAGCTATATTTTTAAAAATACATATAATTAAAATTTGTGTTATGCAACTGTACAACTCGTAAATGAGACAACTCACCTTAAAAGCCATTAATTTACATTTACAAAATTTTTACAAAGATTATATGTTTAATCGTTTATTTACTTTTTACTTAAATCACTTTATTTTCATGTGTTCTAGCTGCAATTTTTCTTGCTATAATCATTGTCTGCTTTTTGAATAAATTGCATATTCAAAGGGCATTACATATTTTTTAATTTTCTAAACATGACGCACATCGACGTGAAATATTAGTTGTATAATATACAATTTGAGCTAACATTGTTAATATTTGATGAAGTCATGCACATTATTAGAACATAGGAGATTTTTTTGATACATATACATATTTATGCAACAATTCTAAAAGCACTTCGATTAGGATTCAGTAAACTTTGATTATAATATATTTTTTTGAGTTTTATATAATCATTTATATTATCAGTGAATCAGTCCACAAAGTGGCTTATCATTCCATAAATTTTGTTTTTTGTGCAAGCTATTAACATTGAGAAAATCCTCTTGAATGTGCAGAAAGTTTACCGAAACTTAAAGTTCTCAATTGTGACTGATATATTGTATGAGAAATAAAAACAATGCATAGATGAACTATAGTTTTAATATTTAGATTCAGACGAATTTTTTATAATTACATTTTAGAGGGAAATGAGTTGTTCATTATACAAAAGATGTGACAGGCGTGACACAAAACCTTAAGAGCATTCGGAATTTCTAAAAATGTAAATGATTCAAGGGATTTATCAATCAATAGGCACTTTGAGTTATTTCATATCTATCGTTAGGAAATGATAATTGTCGTTCGCACATAGATATCACGTAGTTCAACTTACTTTATAAGTTTACAATTTAGTATCCTGTCAATGAGTCCGCGAAGTCTTACCTTGCCGGGGTGGATGAGGTGTTGGGGCGCTGGCGCGGCGCTCTCCTCGTCGGCGGCCGCCCCGCCTCGCCCCCCGTTGATTGTGTTCTCGAGGGTGCCGCCCTTGGAATGCGCCTTCGGGTCGTGAACCTTGAACCGCACCTCCTGGAACAATGCGTTCCACTAACGAGCATCTGTTTTTCTAATTCTTATTTCCTCAAAGTATCAATTCATGATCTTATCGGATATGTATGTAATGGCTATAAGTTATTTATAGCCAATTTAATCCAAGATGAATACTTTTATATCTACTGTGCTTATATAAACATATTTATATGCAAACAAATTGAAATGTTAATTTTTTATAACTGTAAAATCTATATTATCTGACCTTTTTAAGACTGATTTAATTATTTAATTTTCTGTTAAAATTTAAATTACTTATTGGCTTTCCAGCTTGACGGTTACTCACTGTTTGTTTGGGCGCATGGGAATGATCGCCGGGGCCTCCTGGCCCGCCGCCTTCAGCTTGTAGTTTCTTTTGTTCTGCAATTTTCTGAATCGCCATGAACCTCTGTTTTCTCATTTGGATGCGCTTAGCCATGTAGCCAACAGTGGCATATTCTGAGGTAAGTCAAAATAATTGATTGATATCTTGATATTTTGTAAGGATTTGTGCGAATAGTATTTCATAAATTGTTTTTAGAATATATTCAAATCAGACCATTACAATATATAACTGATTTGTAAAATTCAATAATTATTTTTGTTATTTTACATATAAAATAATTTCAAGAACCTACTTATAGGATCTTGTCCCAGAAATAACATCGTGAAAATTATACATTCACAACTTTCACTTGGTTAGCGATTCAATCAACTTACCTAATAAACTAGCGAACACCATTACGAAACAGGTGCCCAGGTAGACGTCTATAGATTTGACGTATGATATTTTTGGTAGCGCGGCGTTTGTCGATGACATTAGAGTTGTCATGGTCAACACAGTGGTCACTCCGAGAGAGACTCGAGCTGGTGTAGCATGACGATTCAGCCAAAACGATACCCACGATATGATCACGATAAGACCAGACGGAATGTAGATTTGGATGAGGTAGTAGCCCATAGAACGCACGAATTGAATCTCGCACGCCAGGCGAGAATAGTTTCCTGTTCGTAAATTTATTTAATTGAATGAACAAACGAATGATTCCTTATAAAAAGATTGTCATTAAGTTTTAAATTATTATGTTCTGATTTAAATTGTTATTGTTGTTAAAATTTGAATGATATCATATTCTGTAATACTGATCTGTATGCGAGTCTATAGCATTTTCTATGCAACTAAACTATTGTCATATTTTTATACAACTCAAGTATTCAATCATTAATTTATTTTGAATATAAAAGTGATGTTTGAGTTAAGGAAATATTATCAATTTAATTATGTTATGGACAATGAAACAGATATTTTTGAATCACACAAAAGCGTTTTAAAATCTGAAAAAATTTCAAACCTGTTTGTTTCACCATCATCCAATATATTGCTTCTCATTAATGAATCAAAATTGATTCAAGAAGTAAACGCCAGAAGATTGAAATTTTTTGATAACAATTCGAAAAAATAAACAAGTGAATTGGGAAAGTATGGGAAAAGACGGGAACTATCAGAATTCAATGTGAGGAATTTTTTCTGGGGGACCGCGGCCACGGCCCCTATACCTGTTGTGAGACTGATCTCCATTGCTCGTTGTCGATGTCCCAGGACTTTGAATTGCGGCAGCGACACCTCGTTAGAGACCCCCACTGAGTTCGGTCCTTCGTTCCACTTATATCGAATATCGCGCATCGTGTAGCCGACTGCGGGCCAGAACAGAACACAACCACTTGACTTTGATCATTGGAAACGTGAAGATAGTCGTTGACTCAATAATTTTTATTCGTCGATACGCCCTCTTAAGAGACGCTCTGTTTTGCGCGTAGAACCTGCGTCCGTGTGTCGTTTTGGACGACGGAAGTAACATTTTAGGGGAGTTGTGGAAGGGGCCAAGAGTTATGCAGCCTCTAATTTTACACTAATGTTATAATTTTGTATGCGTGTTTTAAAATTTAATATTTTCTAATATAAACTTTGAAATATGTTTCATTAAAAAAGAAACTATTAAATTACTTATAAAATATTACAGAAAAATGAGTATTTAGCAAAACTGCACACTCATGACCATGTCAAAATCATGAAAATAGAACTGGCAGGAAAGGATAAAGGGTAAAACATCGAGTCGAATCTAAGAAGACTTCGAAATTTGAAGTGCGAGCATAAAATGTTCGTTGCTAGTAGAGAGAGCTAGTATTGTTTTTTTTTGTTGCGGTGTATATCGGTACCTGTGGTCAGATTAATCTCAGTCGCTCGCTGTCTGTGTCCAAGGACCCGGAACTGCGGGAGCTCGACTTCGCCACTCATGCCGACCGAATTGAGTCCGTCACGCCAGAAGTAGCGGATATCGCGCATCGTGTATCCGACTCCAGAGCCATAGCAACACACAAAATGCCGTCATTCAACGCATTCCATCATCTTGCGGCCGAACGATTGGTAACGCGCGTTAGGTCCCGTGCAAGCCAAATATCATTCATTCGCATTAATCACTATCATCGTATCACAGTAAAACCAAGTTTCCACGAATTGAATTCACATTCAGATTTATTTCTGATCGCTTTTTTAAATATTAATTTAAAAAATGCATTTAAGTAATCGAATAGTTACGAATAATATCATCGTTGCATTAAATTCCAGTTTAGGTTATTTTAAAAGCTTTTTGATATAAAACTATTTATTGTATTTTTTGAAGAGATTTTTTCAGTAGAAACGATAAAAATACATTAGGCTTTTTGAACGTTTTGCTTATGTTGACGTAATTGTTCTAAATACTAAATGTGATGTAAGAATTGAACAATATGAATTGAATATAATTGTAAAATATAAAACTGTGAATTTTGAAGCTTGAACTACCAATAAATTGAAACTGCAATTTAAATAATTGGAAAAATATTATTACTCTATCGACATACTGCGATGACATGACACGATATAATTCACTGGCTACAAAGCACGGGACCAGCCACGCGAACAAAAGCGACTTGAATTTTGAATGAATCAAACTTAATATTGCAAATGCATCTAAAATGCGTTAATTAAATATATTGAATCATTTATAATTTATCGCTTATTTATTATTTAAAAATTATATTATTATATTTTATATATGTTTAAAAATTTGATCTGACATTTAAATATTTAAATATGAATCGTATTTCAAGTCGCTTATGCTATTTCCAACTAATGAATTCGCATCTGAACTGTGATTGCCTTAACAAAAAAAATTTCGTGAACAGACTCTTAGCTACTTTTGGTTTATTAATGTTCTTATTATGCTTTTAGTTGTTAATAATCTGGTAAGGCAATCCTAGTTGAGTTCGCGAAATGGAATATCTAAATACATATTACATCTACTCCACGATGAATATTTATAATATGTGAAAAAATAATACGGATTTAATGATTTGTTTTTCTATATATATAACATAAACAGGACAATCATAGGAAATGAACATTAAACGTTTTTGAAGGACATACGAAAATGACAGAAATTTCGAATTCAAATATTAGTGAGCATATAACTGAAAACATACAGTGCTAACACAGAAGTCATGCAATATTTTAAATTACAACGCAACATGCAGATATATTTTTATACTGGATAATACTTCATATGTTGTGTACTGAATCCTATGCTGAATATTTGTGCTATTTGAATGTATGTTTATATGTAATCAATGTGATTTTGATGAAAATGTAGTAATAGCGTGCGTTTTCGAGTGAAGCGCTTAGGTACTTAAATTTTGTTATAAATATATACATATATATATATATATATATATATATATATATATATATATATAATGGGTAGTACTGCCCTAGGGCAGATCCGTAAGCAGAGTTAAACTGCAACTAGATTCACGGAAGAATAGTGTGATAGTTTTCCCTTTGTCTTTTCAGTGAAAAGACGGTGTGAAAAGTTTTCACACCGCAATGTCGAAAATGGGCCATTTAATAAAATTGAACGCGCTACTGAAATATGTCAGGTTGTTCAGAGCGGGGTTCGAACTCATGACTTTGTCCACACGAGTTTGTGAACTTAACCCTTACACCTTGAAACACCCATATATATATATATATATATATATATATATATAATGTGTGTAGGTGTTTTTATATTATTGTATAATTTTATTGATATATATGTCTCTTCGTATATATATCTCTCTGTCATTCCAGTAAATAAATGGTTGAGTCAATTTGCACTATATGTGACTGTGTATAATATATACATATCATTACTTTTTGGGATTGTTATTCTCAAAATTTACTATATTAATTTTTGAAATATGTTTTCAATTCAGTTTATAGAAATATTTTCATTTATAGAATTGAGAGTTGATTCGTGTACATTATTTTAGTACGTTCCTAAAACTTTGGATTATTTTAAGCTTCTTTATTTAGTTCAAGGTTGTGTAAAGAAAATACACACCTACCTATCATGTATGGGCTAACATTTAATACATTTTTTTTATCGGCAATTGCATTTACTTTTAATGAAAATGTTGCTACATTGGAACAATTTAATGCATGCTGAAAACTACATTAAGTGCAATCGATTATGCTCGAGATTCATGCACTTCTACATATGTATATGTAAACATCTACATTAAGTTAGAAATCTAGATCGACATGACAAATTATAGCTACGGCTGAAATTTGTATCTAATAGAAAATGAAAAGCACAGAGTAATATGTAAATAATCTGTGCGAATGTTGAATGAAAATAAAAAATAAAAAAGAACAAAATCGTCTAATGACGAGATAGGTGCGTGCATTCGTGCTTGGTGTTCGGCCTATCGAGCCGGATGCACGATGGGGCATCGTAAGAGATACGGCCGTTGAGCGGATCGTGCGATGACGGACTATATGCTCCACCGCTCTCTGTTTGATTGTCGGGGAGTGCACGCGTGCTAGTTGGCGTACTGGCGCCGCACTGGCACTATGCAGTTGTTTGTCCGGCACCGATATATTGTCGATTTTTGTTGTCACACAATATTCTTCCTGTTATATCCACCACAACAGGACAGCTCTATAATAATACTCTGACTAAGAAAATAATAATAAAAACGAAAGATGTTAAGCTCGTCCGTCTCCTTCCGCTGGTTGCTGTAGCCGAGAAGGCGACCGACTCGAATCGATTCGAAATATAATAATGATAAAAAAAATAAGAAAAAGTAGAGGAAACAAATGGATTAACTAGGATGGAAGGGGATACCGGCGGGAATTATGTGTATTGTAGGACGAATTTCACCGCGGACTTAGGCTCTATTTGCTAACTGATTTAGATATATCGTTTATTTACATGTTTAATATTTAACAAAGATTTCCAACATTTATTATATTTGATAAACATGGTAACTAAACCATATCTAAATCTATTTCCACTACAATTCATGATTGCAAGTGATGTAAGCATTATGCGATATTAGTTATATTAATTAATTATATATGTTATTCGTATATACATACATATACAAATACTATACCTAGTTGGTTTCATTGTTAATATTTTTCATCAACCCGATATGTCAACATAAATTGAACTTGAATGTTATTCTTAATACAAAAACTATATACATATAAATTACGTGGTCGTTTCATATTTAGTATAATACATTTATTATAGTGCAACAATTAAATTTTATGCTATTCTTATTATTTTACAATGCATCAATTTGTTTGATTTTATAGTAAGCAAGAAAATTTAAATTAGTATCTTTATTAGCGCGTTAGTTAAAATTATTCTCTACATAATATAATTACTGTATTTGAAGCAAAGAATGATGTGCTTATTTGATATAAATAAAAGCGCAAATACTTACAGCTCTCGATTTCTATGTGACAAAGTTGTCTGTCCATAGGGAAGTATTGAAGATTCATTGGACATGAGGCAGTGATCGTCAGCCTGTAAAAAATAAATAATTTCAAATGAATAATTTCTTTCAGATCACCTCTGCTTTGCTTCTTAGCGCCATGAATTTTGTCGTATTTTTTATATAATGATTGAACGTATCAAACGTAACATTATACCTCTAACCATAAGACTGTTTGTGTACTTTAACTGCCCGAAAGAAAAGTTTGTTTTGGCATGAAAATCCGGCTTGCTGATTTTATTTAAGTCATTCTAAATTGTTTGGGACCAAAATTGGAAAATGTATGTATGCATGTGTGTATATGAGCTGAGAGCTATATGGCTTAGAGATTTAAAAAAATTAAAAGCCATTCGATGTTTCTCGAACTCGACGATGGGCCAACCCGTATCATTTTAATTAGCAGATATTTGCAAAACATACTAAAAGATTAAAGACTTTCAAAAACTTTATTTTTGAAACAGTTTAAAATTTTATTCTAATAGCTAATTTACTTCTTACTGATTAAATCGATTATTTCCACGTATCGGGAAGTTCGTGCAACTTGCTTCAAAGCGAATTTACACATAGTTTATATTTAAAATATGAATAGTTTTTGCCGAAACATCTTTATAAACACCGATAGATTTTTGACTATTGTTTCAATGTTTAGAGAATGTAAACTATATATTTTATAAATGAAATGTCAACACCAATATAGCTGCCAAAAAAAATAAATGTGCCCCTTTATATTACAACAAGGCTACACCTTCACACCTTTAATACTGTAAATATTGTAATAAACCTTCAATATTATAAATATTGTTGAGGGATAGCACTTATTATACGCATATATATACATTTTTCACATGCCTATGCAGAGAGAAATAAATCATACGGAATGATTTTTGTTATTGCTTTTGTTGACATTATACAAATGTTGAATTGTTATTTAATAGTCGCGCAAAAATAAATTCTCTGCGTTTCCGTGTTCAATATTTATATCAACTTACATACTTGCACGCGATTTTTGATCACATAACTTCGACTAAAATATTTTCGCTTTACTAACGTGCTCTGCATATAAAATGCAGCTTATTTATGTCTCTATTGGAAAACGAATTAGAATAGCAAATTTTACTTGCAAGTAAGGTTTGAAACCTTGCAAATATTATTTTGATACTAATTATATTACCATTGTGTGTATATATATATATATATATATATATATATATATATATATATATATATAGGATGGGGTGGGGCACGTAGGTTTAATTTGACTTTGTGCAATTATATTATAAAAACCCAACCAATTATATTACAACAAATAACACACATCAAACAAACAACTGTCTGACTATGTTCAGTAAAACTCCCAGCTAAGTCATAATTTTAGAAATGTTATTGTTGCTGTTTTAAAATTGTAACCTGGTCCTTTTTACCCCATAGGCAGGGTGAAATGAGACGGCCACGGTGCAAACCGGTTCAATGTTTATTTTTAATTTTAAAGAGATTTTACGAAATAATAGCTACGTTATTCAACCAATGCAAAATATAAATTAAACAATCTAACATTATAAATGAATTTATAAATGCTATCATTGAATTGCGTTTTGACACATTATTATTTCAATGCATTCTATACGTCCTAACTTTGCCGCAGATGATATTTGGATAATTAGCGGAGTCCAGGCTGTTGCGCATACATCCATCGATGGCAGTTGCTGTCGATTAGCTTTCGTGGATCTCTACTCTGTCGTTGTGCTCGAGATAAATTGTTCCCTAACGAGGTCATCCCGCTGTGGCGCCAGACGTTGCGGTAGCGCGGTACCCAATAAAGGTGTGGGCAGATTCTTTTTCTTTGAGTGTTCGTGAAATTTTCATAAAGAATACGAAGCTTATCGAAAAGTAACTAGTATCATATGCTTATTAAGTGTTTTAGTCATGGCCGGAAAAATAAATTATGGAATTCATTCGATGTTGTTATTGGCCAAGGCCTACAAAGTTAGATACATAAAGAATAAACGAATTTAAAAAATTAGTTTCTTTGTCATAAGCTAATGCGGAATCACTATAGGAAATGTATAACTTGAAATTTTCTACTCGGCATCGGCTAAGAGGTCGAATTAATTAGACTTTTATTATCTACTCTCCACATAATTGTGGCCGGTTTTAAACTGGTTTGTGCGCAAGTACGTTAACCGTTTTGCTACGAGTGTCCCATGATCGACAGCCTAGTAATTTCTAATTCATTAAAAACGTAATTTTTAATTTTTCAACGCATCTTTTGATTGATAATGTAGAAATACACTGAAATGTATCATTGTGCCTGGTCAGTAGCGCTACAAAGGGACACGCTGTTTCTGCGTAAAACACTCCTAGCGAAAGGGTTAATTCTGCTAACAAAAGATCTGGTAAAATATGCATAATAAGTTTTGCTCAACAATTGGAATGAATAATTTGCCCATCAACTATGTTGCTATTACGAATTGTGCGGGTGTAAAGACTCTGGGGATTGAACCGTATAAGAAACGAAAAGAAACTGAAGCGGGCCTTCGCCATCCTCGCCGAATCATGATGTAATCACTCATAGCCCCGCCAACGCGCGACGATATCACGTGCCATTTCATGTGTGCGTGTGTCTTTGTGTGCACACATCCGCGAATGGAAGTTTTTGTCCGCTCGTATATCTTTCGTTTCGGTTGCTAAAAATCGCGCGGGTACGTTTTGTGTTCTGGGTGCTTACCGATGGATATTATACGGGCGCGAATATGAATGGATGGAATTTGTAAAGCGATGATCAATTGTATTTTTTGCGTGTTAAGCTGACCTATTTGAAAAAAATCGTTCTATAGAATACGGGATTAAACAAGTACTTATTTCCCATTACAATTTTATAACGACATTCTACATTTTATCATAATAGAATTCTATTATAAATTATCTTTGAATTGGTCATTAATAACATAATCAGTATTACCGATATGGATACAACAATACGTAAAATATATATAGTTGTATATACCATCAAATAATTGTGAAAAAATAACATTATAAATATGTCAAAATACCTTTAATGTATAAAAATATGTATGGCATGGTTACGTAAATATGAGATGTAATCAGTAGAACATTATCGATTGCGAGCCTAATCGAAATAAAAAAATCTAAGTTTGGCGGCACATGAGCACAGGCTGTGCGGAAATGAGCTGTTTATTAATTCTACATGAGCGCTTGGGATTTCTTTTCTGTTCTTTTTTTTTGGTTCGCCCGCCCACCCGTACAGATAGCGAAAGGGAAGCGATGCTATAAGCCCGCGGATTGTCGCGGAATACAAAAGTCCCTCTGTGTACATGGCCAGACTCTTGATATTTTGATCCTCTTTTATTCACTTAAAAGATCAGCGACCGCTGAGGCTCGACTTGGATGGCTCAAGTTGTATTTGCGTTATTTATTAATAGACTATTTTTGCGAAGCTGGCTGGCTGTTAAATGTTTAGATATTTTAATTTATAGCTGGGTGCCTTCAAGTCGTATAAATTTAACTTAAAATTGATAAGTTATATATCATATATATGATTTTTCTAAATTATATTGCTCACTGCAATATTGATATGATACTTTGCTAATTTGTATCATGTAATTTGAATTGATAATTATAAATTTTTCATCATGTTGTATTTTGGAATTTAATCGTATTTTATACGTAAAAAAATTGCATTCCAACCTTATTTTTTAATGTTGCTGTCACAAGACCTATAGTATACGCTACATTTAAATACCAAAGTTACTTACTTAAAAACAAAAACAATACTTTTTTGTAACGTTTTTGGGATCTCTAACATAAATAAAACGACTATCTTTTCCAAAGCCACATCATTTTAAACACGATTTGCCAAAATACTGTACCGTCATCTGATAAAACATTTAGGCGCACAGGTGACTCTCGAATTCAGACTGCTCTTGACGCGCGTTTGTTCTCGATTTTCTACTTTTTTCTGCCTTTTCTGTCGTCGATGTGACGGGCGTTCGAGATGCCACCGGGGACTCGTACAATAATCTTTGATTTGCGAGGAGCATCACCCGCTGAATAATTCCCGATATGAGACCGATTGCTAGAGAAAGCGTACTGTAGCATCGCCTGGCGCAGAGGCATATCGAGGTTTTGCGCGTTCATCGGGGAAGCGCGTCACGAACCAAAAGCGGGACGTGACCGAAGCGATATCGCCATGACGGGGAACAAGATCCTAACCGTACTGCGTTAAAATTCAACGATATTGCTTATCCGTTAAACTTGTGTATACGATTAAACCTTAACACCGGCGGGACTCGATTCTCATGTCTTTGTTTTTAAGAGGTGTTAGTACACAGAGGACATTTATAGCTTTAAGTTGTGAGATGTGGAATGCTCCAAACTTCTCAAATGTTTTATCCTTGCTTGGAAAATAAATGGTTACGTCGTTTCTAATTGAATTTCTAATACAATCTTCACACATCAGTTAGACTTATATTGTACTTTATGTATTAAATAGATTTTGCGTTGAATCTGAATAGAAAGTATTGAATATAATTGCGTCATTTAGTCGTAATATATTGATTTTACTTATACGTCGATTAAAATAATAAAACTATGACGAACAATGTATGATGCTTTAAACCCATGCGACCATTCTTCAAACAATTCTCCTATCGTTGTTTTAATTTTTTCTCAATTCGTATTCAACACATTTGAAGTGAACAAAATTCATTAAAATTGATATTTTGAAATGTTACGTTATTTTCAAGTTCAATTAAAAGGTATAAAAGCTTTGCAACCACAATTAATAAACTTAACAATTACACAGGTCCACAAAACAAAAAAAGTTATCTGTCTTTGGAGTGCAGCATATGTTTTCCAATGTAGTTTTTACCGCTGAACACGGATCTAATGTCAAAATTGAGGGTGCAATGGAAAAAAATTAAAAATAAAATAAAAAAACGACAACATTTTCTATCTAGTAATTATTCAGCATGGTAATTGAAAGCTTATAATTTTTGTCGTTTTCTGGCCCTTTCTACCTTAAATTGAGTATCACTTAAATGATCTAAGTTGTTTTTGTAGGAAACAGCAGTATTTTGCCAACACATTTTCACACATTCAAATTGCAAACAAGGTTGCAAATTACCCAGGGGCAATGGGGAAGAAATATATTTGCACACTACTGCTGAATTATACAAAAAACTCAATACATCATTTAATTGAAACTCATTTAAGGCAAAAAGGAATAGGAAACGACAGAAATTTTAAGATTATAAGATTGATTATTATACAGAAAAATTACTTGCTTGGACATTGACATTGTTGTTTTTGTTAAAAAAAAAGCAATTTTGTAAATAATTGTAATAAATCTGCTTACGTAATACTTGAACCATCCCTTATCCCGTATATATATACATATAACATCATTTTATTATAAAAATTTATTATAAATCTTTTTTTTTATCATTTTTATGAATTGTAAACTATTCTATACTATTAAATAGAAGTTTATGTATGTATTGCATTTTGCAATCGTTCATTTGTAGAATAAATTGCTTATTTGAAAAAAAAAAGAATGCTTTATTAACTTACCGTATGCTCCTCGTGATGGAACCAGAGTGGTGGATTCGTATGAACTCGTTGCTGGTGGTTGCGATGTGGAAGTAAGATTGTTTCTCGTTTACGAAGAATGTGTCAGGGACCCATATGTTTTTAATAAACTCGGAACCCACAGAAAGCGTTTCGACACCGGGACGTTTCCTGTACGCTAGCCGCGGATCCGTCCAGAATTGCCGAAAGTAAAAGTCCAGCGTGAAGTCCTGCATTGGTCCCGCAACGGTGCATAGAACAAACAAATATTAGATCTTCTGCCCAGGACTGTAGATGGTACATTTCTATGACTCAATGCCAAAAGATAGTCAAATGCTATAAAACCATATCTGTGACTCAGACACATAGATAACTGAACATGAGTAAATACTTCTATATAAAAGTGTCTTTTGGTGTCATGATCCATAGATCACAAATATCGTTCTATGTCTAAGATGATTTTTTAACAGTAAAGAAAATCAACAATCATATTCATAAATCAAAATACTTCAATTAATAAGAAACAGATAATAATGATAATTATAAAAATTATGAAAAATAAAGGACGCATAAGCCATGCGTGCGCATGCATCGGAGAGTTTATTCATTTATCGTGCCAGGGATATTGAGGAATGAAGGATATATATTTAGGAAAATATTTTCAAATTAATTTGCTGCTATTTTATGTTAGTGTTACATTTGCAAACTCATTTTATTGTGTTTTTTCAAATATTATCGGAAAATTGCATAAGATAAGGTAAGAATGCAATGAATTAACGACTCAAAATTTTAGGTACAGTGCTAAAACTTTTATTGTAGTTAATTCTTATATTAAATTTTCTAATGAACTTGAAATTAAAATTAGGTTTCAGGGGCTATGAGTCTATTATGTACAATTATTATGTCAATACCTAATACTGTACGGATACCTAATTACTGATACCTCAAATAGTTATGGACTTCAAAATTACGTTTATAAATATTTATCTATAATTTGTCTTAACCTGATTTTCTAATGATTTTGATGAATTGTTTCTTGATGATTCAAATGAATATGATCCTATTTGAGTTATTATGTCATGTGGTTCATAACAAAGATCACATCCAATTTTTTGTATACTTACACATCAATCCGCCAAATCACTTGACCTGAAAGTGGGTTTGGTTTGGAAGATATATGCTGGGATTATAGGTAAATATATATTTTTTTCTACTACATCACATGTATAAACACAGCATGAGATAAAAACGTAAAATGAAGAAAATATTTCATCAAGTAAAGTTATAAAGATTCATCAAAATCAGAAGAAGAACGGTCATCGTCAAGTGAAAGTATAATAATATGTAATGTGGGCAATGACTAGGTGTCGGGCATGCACGGGACAAAAAGTAAGAATTGCGTTCATAACAGCGCAACGCTATGGAACCAGCTGTCTAAGATGGAAACTAGATCGGTTCTGCGACCTACAATCGAAAGATAGCAGCCGAAAAAGGAAAGAATAATTGCAGCAATGATAATGAGAACGTCTAACTATCGCTTATAGATGAAACTGCTAATTAACAAAAATAGATATTCTGAGCATTGAGCATTATTTAAGTTCTCACAGTAAAAGATTTGGATATATTTCAGGATGCGGATATTGGTGGATACCTAAGGCGTTAAGGATTTAGTTATCGGACGATCCGGCGACACAGTGCGGCAGCTCGGCGTATACACATCATAATATAAATAACCATTACAGAATAACAGTTTATAGAGATAGATAGGTTCACAGACGTCAATATCACAAAGAGAGAGACAAGGCATTATTCATATTTGGCGGATTTAGCAGGCGGGGCGACGGGTCACGTCCTGCAGTGACCTTGTGTAATTATCATTTTACACGACCTTGATTTGGTTTCCACTCGGGGTCCTACACCCGGGTCCCCGACGTTTCAAGGCGGTGCACCCAGTCCCGGCATCGCACAACGCACTAGCGATTCGAGTGCGCGATCGAGTCGCAAAAGTCGCGGGCGCGCGGTACCCCAAAGCAAGGACCGCAAGCGCAAACCAGGCATCAAGACGCCTCGCCACGACCCGTCAACATTTATCATTCCACATATAATATAAACAACGAAACGGGCGCAGCCGCGGCATCGGCACGTGGAACTGAATGCACAGCGCGCAACACACACTTATCGAACTACTATAGAGGTCAGAGGAGGGCGATGGAGTGAGACCCAAGTCACGGCTCTCACTCACAGACAGTGCTCGTCCCGATCACAGTGCCAGTTGTCACAGCGGTCCGGCGATCGCGCGACTCATGGGAGATATTGCTCCGGTCGAGTTAGATCGCTCGGTCGCTGCCAACCGCGCTCTGTGACCGGTGACCGGCGTGCAGGCCATGCACGCAGCCGCGTATTCAGGGCTGCGGGGCGTCCGGATTGGCCATCTGGAGACGCCTGCGGAGAAACTGGAAACCAGCCTCTGGACTCTATACAATTGCCTAACGGAAATGCGCACCGTGTAGGTAAACCAGTAGCTCATACGGAACCGGCACGAGTCCAAAGTCTAGCATTTTAACTGTTCTTATACGGATTTTCTTTAAATTGATTGCGGAGGTACCGACTATGTGATTAATCTTTTATTGTTATAAAATAAATATTAAGCCATCAATTAACTAGACAATATATTGTTACAGTTCCGTATAACGACAGTTTATATAATGTATATTATATATGACAGCACGATCACAACAGTAACGAAGGCGCAAGGGCCATCATCCCGTTTCGCGTATCTCTCGATTTGTCGCGATAAGCGAGACGGGATCTAGCCGGGTGCGTTTCGGTGTAAATGTGTACCATTAGCACTTCGGAGACAGAGCTGATGCTGAGAACATACATCGTGACGCCGACTTCGACCGGGGGCCCTGAAACATGGTCAAACATATCGATGACACGTCATCACCAGCTATTAAATCTTCACGGGATCTCGATGAGAAAAAGAAGATTCGTAAATTGGTCAGATATAAATACTGATTATTACTTATTTTAAAGAGATACACACTCGCATAGGTCACAAGCACACAATGAAAACCAAATCAAAGTCGAAGGACGTGATCCCATCGTACGCACGCCGCGGGCAATGCAGCGCGTTTTAATTGGGATCTCTGGCACTATAAAAAATAAAAAATATTAATTTAAGGGTTTTAAGTATTTTCACCCTAAAGCGGGAACATAAAAGTTTTGAAGATTAGAGTTATATGAGGCTTTTGGAATCATGTGTCTTGTGTTGCCAAATACGATTTGTTTGAAACATCTTGTGATCTGCTGTTACTTATAATCAAATATTATTAATTGAGTTTTTATTTGGAATTATTATTGCTTAAATAAATTAAACTTCATAATATTTATAATTCATCAGCCGCATATTATTTAGGTTTTATACGATGGGAGGTAAAGAAATATATCAGGTGAGGAATGATAACTACTATGAAGTTTAATTTAATCTAATAAACAAATAAGTATAAATAGAATTTATAAATGCCTCAAAATGTTTGAACTAATTTCATAAATTGTTCATTTGTTTGTTTTGTAAACCTTACAATTATAGGTTTGCTTTGATTAAATTTGTTAAAACAATACAATATACAACTCATTTAATTGAAAATTTAACTTTAACCCAATTAAAATATTATTTGAATTCAATATTTTGCGGCATTTATATAATGACACAAGCTATTAAATGCTTAACAATTAATAAATACGTTATATACTTTCTTACAATGCTATACACATTTTTATCATTTAGAGTATTATTAAAAATAATATAAATATAACGTGTACTTCGAAAACGCACAGGGAATGAGGATTAATTTTATCTGTAATTTGGATGTATTACATGATTTGAAAATTCATGCTTCTACGTTATGATTCAATTTATGAATGAGGTAGCAGTGACATTTTTTTTTGAAAAAGCTCTGTGATGACTTTTGCTTAAACTAGATTGATATTTATACATATTTTTATATTAGACAAAATAAATTACAAATAATTGTTCAAAGAGCATATTTTTGTAAAGGGATCAAAAGTCGTCAAGGAGACTAAATAATTCACTTTTGTACTGCATGTTTTTGTGTTATTATGAGATGTTATGAAAACGCGTGTAGACTTATGATATAGCTTTCATGAAACATCGTGTTTGTGTACCTATAGTCATACATAATAGATGATTGTGATCACATAATATATCATAAAGTCTGTGAAAGAGCACAATACAAAGTGAGCTATATATTAATTAGTGTTAGTGTAAAAACTATAAAAGGCGCGCTTGTTCGGTGTTTCAGTGTCCGGATCGGTAAAATTGGTTTGACAAAAAGTGGGTGAGTAGGTGGTTTTGTAAATGAAAGAGGCACTGAGATTATACAAGTGGATACATATGGTTCACTCATCAAAATATTTAATAGATTTCATATTTTAAAATTAGTATAATACGTATATAATTATGAGACTACGAGCGTGGGAGCCTAGATAGTACCATTTTGACTTCGGACAGCGAACTGATGGAGAGGACGTACATCGTGACACCAACTTCCACTGGAGGTCCTGAAACACGGTCGGAAAGTCGTGGGGATGCGATACTGCCCATCGTCAGTGCCCATAGCGTGTATCACACAGGCGCTACTTACTCGCGGACCGATGGCAAAGTACCGTAGCACGCAAGTGCGTTCGATAATTAATACATAAATTTTATTTCATTTTATTCAATTTGACAAACTTGAGAATAGTTGCTTATTAAATATTTCTATTGTAAATTTAACTAATGAACCAGAATTGTTGATATTTTGAAATAATATTAATGTATGTTTTATTCTAAACAGTAGGAAATTATTGTTTTTTTATTAATAAATTTACAATAGTACATTATGAAATTGTCTGAAATTAAGACAAAAACTTGATGATAAATAATTAAATATTGGCAATTTTGGTATATCAATTTTTGAATGCCACTTGAATATTAATTGGAGAAAATAAAAGCAAACGCTCGGTTAGTTACGGTTCGATTCCATCGGTCGTAAGAGATTCATAACCGCCAGAACGCAACAACTTTACTGGTCGCTTACCGCTGTGAAACTATTGTAAATAGTCGACTTTGACCGGGTCGTTATGTACCTACCCAATGCAACGATCTTTTATATGCGTTTATGAAAATTCCCAACATAGATCAATTCAGTCATGACACATATGCCGTTTGTTACAAAAACGCGAAAAGCTCATATATCGCACGTGCGCGTGCTAAAATATTTGTACCTTTCACGTTGAATTTTGCAATTGTATTTGTGCCCGTTATCAACTGTCTTTGTTGGAGCAAAGTTTAATATACTCAAGTTCTTAAGCAAACGTTCTTTTATAACGTCTGAATATTATTTGTTTCATGACCTTTCGAATGAAACTTAGTAGGGGAAAGCACGATGATGGTAATTCCTTACAATGTAACAAGCGCTCGGAAGGGATGCTGCATTCTCTTTAGTCTTGCTTGAATTAATCTACGTCAGGATATATTGCTCGTCTGCAATCTCTTAAGTGATTTCTGAGATACTTTGTATCTAATTTTTAATTCCGCGCGAGTCAGGAAGAGCAAAGTGATTTGCGATCTGGCGCTTGTACAATAAGCTTTAACACACCAAAATTACATGAATAGTATTACAGAATAACATATGGTATACAAATTTATGATTAATTATTATAAACACATTATTCACCAATATGTAAAATAATTTATATTACATTATTTTATTATATTATATGGTTCAATTGAGTTTTTCATAGGAATTGAATTTATTTTTTTCTATTTTGGATTTATGTTTGATTTATTCGGTCGCTTTTAATTGCAGCAATAATTCTGCTCGCGCACTGTCGAGTCTTTAGAGCTTTGTGTATTCCTACTCAGTCGTCCACATTAAAATCAGTGATAGCTGCACATTCGCGCCCCAAGGGAAATATGAAATTAGCTCCTAATTACGTCTTATGAACTCATCACGACGGCATTTATAGGAAGTTTTGCTGGAGCGCCTCGCGTTCCTTGCCGAATCCGGGATAGTTTTAAAGTTTAACTGAAAAGTTTTGGTAAAGCGGGAGACTAGAAGCCTTGTTTAACTTTAGCATAGAGCGTCATTGTCGTTTGAGGTCAATCGAAACTCTAAATTTTAGAATTGGTAATATTTAATATTGAATTGTTCAGGAATATTTTTTAAATGCATCGTTTACATTAATTAACAATACATTTCTTGAACATTTCGTATTTTCAATTTTAAACAATGAGGATATCATGTTAATTCATACCATTGGTTTTCTTGTGATAGTAAAATTGGAAGAAATTGTTGCAGGTCTAAATTGCTATGATCTTGCTAATTAAATAAATTAAATAGGAAATTCTGGATAAGCTTAATTTTGCATATAGACTATTGTTCAATATTGATAACTAAAATAAATCGATTAACGGTTAAATTATTTATTTAACCGTTAACATGGCTCTAAAGTAAACTATTTATTATTATGTATTTATTTTATAGTAGCACATTAAGTATTTAAACTTCATGATCCAACGGTCGGATTACATAGTCATTTCTCTCGCGCACGTTCTATAATTTAAGCGCAATTACTGGGCCGCTTATGAATTTTAAAAACCATGGGCAACCGTTCAATTTTTGACGAACACGCATTTCATTAATGAAATAAATAATAAAACTTTGTGTTAAACTTAGTATGCAATGATTCACTCTATTTTATATATGTTTTCATAGTTTTTTTTAATTTTAGTAACAAATTCACTAACAACTAATGTTTCGAACAATTAGTTTTCATCAATATATTGTCAATCTTACACAATAACGAGTGTCATAAAATGCATCACATTTCTTATTCACAAGATATTGCTTAGTTTATAGCTTTTAAATATATTTTCGAAAGGCTAAAGTATCAATAACAAAATTTATAAGCGTAATAAATATTTAACTAAATTCTTTATGTCATGTATTCCATACGTTTATGATCTGTTACGCAATAAAATAAATCGATTTTTTAACGTTAAATATAAGTTGCTGAATCTTCGCTTTATTTTTTTTTTAAACTTGATTTATTTTTTTCTTATCATAAACTGCCTCCGTATTTGGTTCGGTCGATTCAAGTAAAAATAATTTTAATTAAAAATAATAATAAAGTACTGTTGACTCTAATGGAAAGAAAAAAATATTTAGGAAAGAACGAAATTCTTTTAAAAAGCGTTTTGATTGCAGCATTCAAATTGCAAAAAATTTAATGCTTTGATATCTTGATAAAATTTATCTTCTAGGTATGTACTTCGAGAGAATGAGCTTTAAAAGCACACATTACTACATTGTTTGGTATTAGAGCGTACCATAATTTAGTATTGTGATAAACTCCGTACATATTTTTCTAAAATTACAATCTTCACAACAATATTTTTTTTGAATGTTTGGAATAGTTATGGATAAATACAATACGGTTTTTCAAGTTTCAAAAATATATATTCAACGACAAGATAAACGCTGTGAGCACTGTTGTTTAGTTTACGAGACCTTAATACAGTTTTTAAGTATACGCTATATAATTGTTTTATGAGATGAATTAATAATTTCAGTTAGATTCAACATTTTTTATGTACCTTCTATAAAAGCTTACACGTTGGTGGGATAAAAAGGACTAACTGAACATTTACATTGACAAAGGTATCAAGAAATAATAAATAAAAAAGTAAATTATAAGATAAAATAAATTAATAGTTATTCGACCTCTGCTGATGAGTATTTCTTTCAAGATCAAGGTTATATACAATGAAATTTTTATAAAAAGTTAACTGGGAGTTTTACTGAACATAGTTCGACAATTGTTTAATTGATTCGTATTATGAACTTAATAATAATAAAACATCTTACAAAACAACTAAATAACCTATAAAAGTAATTCTGGTATCATAAACTAAATACAAGAGCTCTGAACCAATAAAACAATCTTTCAAATAAAACATTCAACTAAATGAAATACTTTTGGTATGAATATTGATAAATATCCGTTTATCTCCTGATTGGAAAATTAGGGTGATGGTTGGTTACACATCTTTTTCCTGCTATTTTAAAATAGTATAATTGAAAAATTATATTCTACTTCGATTTTTTTTTAAAATAATGATGGTGGACTTGTTTATCCGCGAACTTTCTTTCAATCATTTGAAAAACTACATATATTCCTGCGATGTACGTAGAATAAGAAAAGTTCGTATGTAAATCCTTTTTCTCAGAAACCGTATTTCAAAGCATTAACACCAGGCCCATAATGTGAAATAACAAAGCATATCTGCAACTGATATACATTTCGAGGGCGAATCCTATTTGTATAACCGCAGTCCCTTTCACGATCGGACAAAGCCAAGGCATAGCTTTAAGAGGAGTGTGCATTCGTACTCTACTAACTCATTCCATAGAAAAAATCTTATAATAATAAATCTGATGATGTAGACACTCGCACTACATTTTGTCCTAGATGTTTTTGCGTTTTGTTTGGATATAAAGAACATACATTATTTGAATGAAATCTTAAGTTGATTTTTCCGCAAAATGACATAAATGGAATATAGATATGCTGATGCAAAGAACATATTACTTTATCATTATAAAAGCCATGTTAGAAAAAAGACTTCTAACAGTGAATTTAACGCATAATATTATATAGCATACAGTTTTTCTCCATACTGTTTTTCGCATAGCAATCAATAAAGAATTTTTGAGGGCCCTGTGTTCTTTTTTGACAAATTATAGTGTCCTATATTTTTATTCACCTTTTAATTCACAAAAGATAAACAGAAAAATATTAGTAGCAATAATATTTTGATCTACAATGAATGTAAAAGCACAAAAAACGAACATCACGCAATATCTTGTGATAATGAAATTTCAATAAACTGTATTTAGTTTATCATTGTTTTCATAATAGCTCGTAATTATTATAGAAACAAAGCATATATTAAATTTCATTTGAGAATATCGAACATTTGATACTTTTCCTGATTGTGAAATCCACTTAACATCCGCGTTGTTTTCATAGCGTGCACGACTAACCCAGCATCCGCCCGTATTGCCCATGGGGAAAAGCGGCCCTGATGATAATTATAATCCGGTAGTGAATGGGTTTACCTTGTATTTTGCGCAACGTTTCTTCGAGCAAGTTCTGGCATATAGATATAGCCGTTGTTTTCAAAAAGTGATTATTTTGGGAATTACAACTATTTAAGATTTTTTACAATGTCGTTTTTTGTTGTCATATTCAATTGATTTTGTATTTTTAGTATTTTTAAACTCTTTGTTTATTCATAAAATTATTCAGTAATTAGCAGGTATAAAAATTAAAAACCACAAATGTGCAAAAAACAATAAATTACTTTGATTTGAGTAAAATTATTTCTTATCTAACTATGCCTTTCATACATTCTGCAGATGTATGAAATATGTTGCTTTTTGTCGAAACTACAATAAACTAAACTATTCAAGGCTCTATATCATTCAACTATCCTGCAACGTATCTTCAATTCA